CAAAAATTCTTTTTTTTTTTTAATTTTCCATACCGTGCGCATGTAAATCGTAAAATTTCTAGTCTTCTTGGAGGCAGAGGATACCTTCTTTAACAAAGTGTCGAATCCCAAACTTTTCCTAATGTCAACAACATTTTTAAAACAGTTTTTGTGCTCTCCTGAAAAGTCCCCATTTTCACATTCGATAGTTTGACATGGTAGCGGCGATATGTATATCGATCCCACGCCACCCACCGGCTAAATTTTATGTGGAGTTATTGCCTTCAACGGTGGTAATATAAAGAATGTTGGCATTTGTTTAATTTTTTCTTTAAAAGACATATCTCGAACTTTATTTAAAAGAAATTGTTAAGTTACATTTTGTTAACAAAAAAATTCAATTTAGCCCATTGTGCTTCTGATCTGTAAAGACAGGTCCAACGCTTACCATGTTTTTCATTCGAATACTACAATGCGAATTCTAAGATATAATGCGAGATCAAAAGTTACGAGCACCATAAGAAAATATAGTAAAGGCTAGAGTAATATTTGAGTTTGAATATTAAATTTAACAACAATTTGAAATTCATGTCGAAGGTGCAAATCTATACATACAATTAAATTGTAACAGGCCGATGTCTGTACACTACGGATATTAAAGAAACTTAATATGGGGATCTTTGTTAGAGCTATAGAAGCCAAATTAACAATTTTTAGAATTTCTGTCTGTGGGCCGTATGTTTGTACGCGCATCACTCGAAAAGTAATGCATGAAATTGATTGCAGTTTTCACTAATGTATTGCTGGAGGTCTAACTTGAAATATAGAAAAAAGGAGAGTTGCCACCTGTTTGAAAATTGCAGTTTAAGTAAATTGATAAGATACTGTAAATATTGCAATATGGCCGTCAAAAAAAAGAGGTTTAAGAAGACTTACAGCCAAAGATATTTTTGTGGAGGTTGCCACATGTTTGAGAATTTTAATATAATTTAATTGGTGAGATAAATTAAATATTGCAATATGGGTATCAAACTAAGAGGTTGGGGAAAGGAATTTCGAGATGTTCGACACTATTTCGGGTGAATGGACTAGTTCGGAGTTTTTTGGAATTTTCTATAATTTCGATTTTCTCACGACCATATTCGGTTTTTTGTGAACTATTTCGGACCGTTGGAACTACTTTGGAATTTTCGGGACTATTTCGTAATTTTCAGAATTTTAAAGATTCTCGGGAATAGGTTGGAATTTTTGTGACTATTTTGGATAGGCTATTCGGAAGTAAAATTCGCTGAGCTCAGATGAAGTGGCCTCAAGTGAGTTGGGGAGTGTTCAGAAGAGGTGAATTGAGTTGAGTTGAGAAGAGGTCAGTTGACGTGAGTTGAGTTGAGAAGAGATCAGTTGACGTGAGTTGAGATGATTTGAATTGAAATGAGTTTAAGTGTGTTGAGTTGAGGCGAGTAAGGTACTGTAAAGTATTTAGATGGATATATAGCTGTTTTTGCGACGACTTTTTGATTTTAATCAAGCAATCCTTTTTAATACCGGCTCGAGGTCAGGGTGTTTATTGTATTAAAACAAATAAAAATAAGTTCTTTTCCCAATATATTTCAATCTCCTCCGGAGATCGTCTTCCTGATCGACACCTGAGTGGAAGAGCGACCTATCGCATCAGCCGGTTCGAAAACGCTCTATCTCAGAAAACTTTTCGAGAACGCCCTTTTTCAGAATTTGGTTGAAGATCGCCCTGCCTCAGCTGCCGATTCAAAAAAGCTCTCACCACATTATCAATACATTTTCATTTGAGATAGGGCGTTTTTGAATCGGCAGCTGAGATAGGATCTTCAACCAAATTCTGAAATGGGCGTTTTTGGAAAGTTCTCTAAGGTAAGGCGTTTTCGAACTGGCTGATGAGATAGGTCGATCCTCCACTCAGGTGTCGATATGCAAGTAAATAATAACAACAGAACAAGTTTCGACCGGCTGAAAAACGCTTTTTTTTTTGCAAAAAAGGATGTGAATTTCCATACTTATTACACCCAGCAACAAAAACCAAAAAATTTCAAAACTCACTAAACAATCTCTGACGTCAGGATTTTTTTTCAAAGGACTTTGAAATTTCAAGGATATGATGAATTAAAACAATTCAGTAAAAGAGAACATTTTTGTAGAATTGAGAAACGTTAAATTTGTTGGTGCCCAACGACGAATAGGTATTTAAAGTATCCTTTTTAATTTTTTGGTTGCCTAAACTAGGAAAGTTGAAAGGAAAATTTCAAAAACTTTTTCCTTACCAAAAATTTTATTAATTTTTTTTCAGTTTAGCATAGCTATTTCTATCCGAAAAATATGTTTTCACTTAATAGCCAAAAATGCTTGAGATATATATTCAAAAGGAAGCGGGAAACCTCCGAGACGGTTTTATTGGAAATCTTTTAATTATGCAAAAAATATTCGTAAAATATGCTACAAATGTCGACTATTGGGCACTTGAAGGTACTTGTATTTAGCGGGAAGCTTAAAATGTCGAAAATGTAAATAATTCTGATTTTATAGGAATATTACCCAATTTTATTTTGCATGATTTCACAGTATTGTATATATCGCACACCGTCTTCAAAAGAGTCACAACTCAAAATAATACGTTCGTCAGAAAATGCGAAAAACTCTTTCGTAGCACATGTTTTTTTTTTTTTTTTAATTACCTATGACAAAAACTTCCTCAAGCTTTTGCTGAAAGGTAAATAAAGGCGGTTTGTGTACATTTTTAGCGCATAATTTCAAAAATTCCAAATTTTGAGTTGTGACTCTTTTGAAGACGGTGTGCGATATATTCTAACAGTTCTAAGCTTTCATCAAGATTTTGCCTGATCGTCTTGATATAGCGCGGAAACACAAAACAATTTTTTATTATCATTTTAACATATTCCGTCTGACGGCATTCGAACCTGGGACTTCCTGCACACAACAAAAGTTAAATTCCCTAAAAATAATTTTTCGTTTCAAAAATTGCAAATCGCTAACATAGAAAACCAAAACGGTTTATTTTTGAAGAAATCATGTTACTTTTTTCTTAGTGTTCTATTATACTTGCATAAACGTATTTATTTATGTAAATGTGTTTGTAAAGATAAATACATTTAAAGAAGGTAGTATCTGTAGCGAAATTTCAGTATTTTTTCGCGAATGTCTTTAATTATATAAAACCCCTCCTCACCTACCAACAATATTTTCCTGGGTGCGCCCCTGATATGCAATATGTAGTTTTTTTCCTAAATCTCTGCAATGGAAATTGAATTCAAGTCATGTGACGATTTTGCTATTATGCTAGCATAGCTATTGGGTTTTTTCGCCTCGTTAGAGTGTGTGTGTACGGAGCGTTCGTAAACGTATTTCGCAGGGTCGCAAAGCAGTTGTAAAAGTACGTGCAGCTCGTGACTGCCAAACTGAAATGGCGGCAAATATTGTTGAAGGAATTCGGTGTTCACAAACATATGCACATATTAAAAAACATAAAAGCGAGGAAAATGTACATACAAGAACAAATGTATTTACAGAGTCAGTCGTCCGACTTAAAAGGACGCTTCAAATAAAGTAGTATTTAAAATGTAGTGGTATAAGAGGAGAGTTTACTGTTTTTTTTTTTTGGTCGGCATTTATCCAAAATGTGTATACTTTACATGAGTATACATTAACTATGCATACATTTCGGATATTTACGTTTTCAGAAATTTTCTGATTCAAGTGATCGATATTTCGGCACCTAAAGGTGAAAAAGTGCCAAGTCCATTTTTTTTAAATTATTCAGGAGAGACGAAAAATCGATGTAGTTTCACATTATATGTCATTCTGTATCGAAAACAAAATTTTGAAAAATGTAGACTTGGCACCTTTTCACCTTTAGGTAGTGATTTGTTAAATTTTTAATATAAAATTGTCGCATGTACTTATGTAGATTAATTGAGAACGGATGAGTCCAGAGCCCTACAATACAATACCCATGAGGGCGCCATTCACTAAAATGTATGAAAGTTGGCCAAATGACCGCTTTACTTCACTTGCTTGAAGCGCTCTAAAGTTTCGAAAAGGCGAAATCTCTATTCGACAGGTGCTCTATAGGCATTTGACAAAGTAGTATATTTCCGTGCTAAATGAATTGAAGCAAATTGCTGCATTTTTTAAACCAAAATTTTGTTTAGTTAAAAAAAAGTCGTGCAAAAATTTAAGCAACTGGAAGTATCTCACAGTTGTTCCTCTTCTCTGCCCCAACTGACGCCAAGTGAAGCCAAGTCCTGCTCCACCTGGTCTTTCCAATGCAGAAGAAGCCTTCCTCTACCTCCGTAACCAGCTTCGCGTTGAATACTTTCAGAGCTGGAGCGGTTCTGTCCATTCAAACAAAAATTTCTTCAATGAGATAATTTTCACATACCAAATTCAATGCTTGACTGCTGGGTATAAACGTTAGTAGGTACATAAAATCCTATGTCCGTGCTATGTTGTGTATGTGTATACATATGTACATATGTATTTCCGAATTTGAATTTTGAGTTGTGCGTCTTATGAAGTGCGTATGCGATATATATTTGCATACCTATATGAAAATCGCATTTATTTTACCATCACGCTAAAAATGTACATGCGCGTGCTTTGGAATTGTATTTTTTTTTTTACTAAACGTATTATGGTCTTTGATGTCGTTCGCTGAGGATTGTAGCTATGCTATTCCATTGTGGCATAAATAATAAATACATACATACATACTTACATTCATATGCCAGTATTTGGGTATTTGTTATGAAAGAAAGCTCTCAAAATAGTTTTGGTTAACTGAATGTGAAAGGAATTTTATAAATGAGTAATCTCCCTAAATAGATAGTAGATAACTTGTATTATGAAAAGTAGCAGGATTGCATATGTGGTGCTGCTTTGATGTTTCTATTTTGGTTTGAAGTAAAGCGTATATATACGTGTGTGAGTGTGTGTGTTGGAATCTATTTCAGCCACTTTATATTTGCACTACTCACCTGACAGGGCGCCTGGAAGAGATACGCATCACCGAATGCTGTACTCAAACAGAATATATAATCACGTTTGGGATGTTCCGGTATTGGTTGCATAATCGCACCATCAACAATAATTAAATGTTTTGGTGCCGCTTCGACGCTGCGTCCCTCACGTGAATCGCACGGATAGAAGAGTAGTGTGGTGCCTTTGAGGCAAACCCAATAGCCTTTCCAGCCGCGTTTGCGTGCTAATTCGATTTGATGCTTTTTGCGGAGTAGCCATTTTTTCACCGACAAGAAACTGAAATGAAATATGTTTTATTTTCAGTAAAATATACATACATATAGTTAGATATAAAGCTTATAAAATTAATTAGCTACGCACTAGTGGTACTATATATGAACTAGTGTCCTAATTCGAGATTAGAAGCAAGTTATCTTAATTAAAATGAGAAATATTTTTAAAACTAATGATATTGACAACTTTTTTTTGTAGTTTGTTAAAGATAATCGATCGGCGCACATGAGCGTGAATAACAAAACCAAACTTAGTTGTTAAAAATAAAAAATAAAATAAAAAAACATTTATAACAATTTTACGTTGTTGTTTTTGGATAATAAGGTGTATGTAAACATTTATTTATAAGCGTGCGAAATTGCATCCCGATATCTATTACAGTTAAGGGGAAATGAATTTTTAAATTTTGTCAAGCTCTAAAATATAAATGTCAATAGTGGTTTCTTTTTGAAAATTCAAAAAGAAGAGCAAAAATTAATTTTTTCGTTACATAAATTATTAATTTATTTGAATGAGTAAACATTTTCATTATCTATGGGAAACGAATTCGTTCATTTGGCTGCGTCCGCTGGTTTCGCAGTAGCGCATCCCTTTAAATATTGAAAATTATGGTTTTAAGAAAATGTTCGGACTCGACTCGAATCGGAGTAGATTTTACTTTGATTTTTGAAAAACTTTTGAAATCTGCTCCTGTACTCAACTTGACTTCAAACCTACTTCGTTTTTTCACTGACCCTAGGCCTGTGTTGTTACTAAATAATAAAATTTAATTCCTTTGTTGGTTCTTAAGTGTCATATTATTTAATTTTGCTGAATATTTTTTTAACCTAGCATGAGTCTTTTTAAACCCCTTGAAACATTTGATTGGTGACACATTTATGGAGCTAAGTGTAGGTTCGAGTGTAACACAACTTTTTATACTTGTCGCACGAATTCATAAAATAACCATTTTTTGTGAAATTTTTGTGCCACAGTCGGGAAAGTGGATTAAAAATTTACTGGGAAATATTTAGATAGGTGGGTGGTAAAAACAACTCTTTTAAAAATTAATAATTTTTTTCTAAAGATTACTCTAAATATCGAAGCTTAGCACTTTATTATGATTACATAGTGAAAAATCACAGTTCTTGCATTTAGAAGGCATACCGTTATATAGGAGATGAGCATGGTTATTGTCCTAATTCAATGATTTTTTACCCAGTGAAATTAATAGGAACGCGCACACTGAAGATTGTACAGATGGGCAAATCGGTTATTGAGCTATTTAGCTGTTATCATAAGCAGTGATCGGACTTCTATCACATTGTAGTAGATCTGCCACTTTTTTGAGCATCTACCACACAAAGTCTGAGATCTACCACATATTCGCGTTTTTGAGTAGTTTTGTTTTAAGCCGACATAATGTTCTTAATTTTAAGAGCAAAAATTGTCCAACACTAAACACTAACTCCCTAATTATTTATAAAAAGAATTAATAGTGAAAATGATAAAGACCGGCGATTTTTGTGAAAGTATTAGCAAATTTCAGTGCATCTAAAATTTCTGATGCGTTATTTACTTTTACCTGAGAATTGCCAAAATCAGAAAATCTCAAATAGCGGCTGGAACGTGCCACATTTGTTCGCATCCGCAAGGTTGCAGAAATCTTTCAAAATATGTTCGAAACTGTCACGGAAAAAAATTGCCAAAACTCAATGCAATTTTCAGCAACTTCAATCTTGCAATTTATTATACTAAAATTAATTTTGTTTTAGATTCTAATTAAAATGTTGGCAATTTAGGTGAAACCTTGCAGAATTTTTTTAATTTTTGCACAAATTTTGATCCAAAACCTGAGATCTACCACATTTTTTTGAAATCTACCACATTTCTTTCCAGATTCGACCACACAAATTTTGTTTAAGTCCGATCACTGTTCATAAATATGCGGTGCACGCCCATTTTTCAAAACTTTGTAAAGATGTCACCATTGCGCTCGGATATACATACATACATACAGAATGGAGGCTTCAGAGGCCATACCTATTACAACCTGAGCTTTTATACTTCGGGTACATATTGTTTGCTTATTTTGTAGCACAGTGTTGTTGCATTGAGCAGACTTAACATGCCTTAATTAATATTTTTTTAAGCAAAAATTTCACTCACCCAGCTTTGCGTACAGCACCAGTACAATTAAATGAGGAAGCAGCTGTTCCAGTTGCCTTTGCTTTATATGGTGACGCCATGACACTTTCGCCATCATCTTCATCAGATACGGCCGTAGTTAAGCTCATTCGATCATCATCAGATATCTGCAAATAAAAAATTTAAATTTTTAATTCACTTAAATATGTATATACGTTTTTTTGCGTGCGCTTAGAGGTTGTCACACAAAGGGGACGGACCTATTAATACGCTGACTTCATATGGTGATTTATTTTTATAAGAAGCTATTTTTCATGGCAGAAATACACTCGGAGGTTTGCCATCGCCTGCCGGCGACCGCTATTAAAAAATCTTTATTTTATTTTTTAATGTTGGTCGGAAACTGGTCTTGAACCCAGGCCCTGCGGAAGGGTAGCGCGCACTACTAACCACTACACCATAGCAGTGGCCATTGTGATAAATAATTATAATTATACATACATGCATATTAGGGCGGGTCGAATTGTAGGGGTCCAAAAAAACTAATTAATTAATTTCAAGCATTTTTTCCCAAAAAAACCACAGGTCTAAAATGACTTTCGAGCCAGCGATTTTTTCTATCTAGTTTTTTTTCAAAACGTGGCTCACCTGTTGAAACATCTGTATTTAAAACCAGCCAAAATGTGTATGTGGGGATTTTTGCGGTCGAGAAATCCAATGCAGTCGATTTTCGAAGAAAAGGCCTTAAAATCAAATCAAAAGTACGGAGCGCCCTCAAAAGAAAAAAATGTATGCCAGAAATAGATTCCTCGACCCCAAAAAGCCCCAGATACTCATTTTGGCTAGATTTCAATGCAGCTGTTTAAACAGTTGAGCCACTTAAAAAACCAAAAAACTAGATAGAAAAAATCACTGGCTCCAAATTCATTTTAGACCTATGGTTTCCTGGGAAAAAATGCTTGAAATGACCCAAATGACCATAACCGCAATGTGCCTTTGATGGAAAAAATTTGGCCCGCCCTAATGCATATGTATGTATTGTACGTACAGTGCCAGATTTAAGAAGAAGCAGCAGTCAGCGATATACCTACTCAAGGAGCCCAGTATTGGAATTTTCATATTTTCGGTACTTCAAACATTGTTTTGTTGTTCGGCAAATATTTATAATTTCTAGAAATTAGGAGTATTTTTTCAGCTAAATGGGCTCCGCGATATTCTTTAACGTTTTTCAAAAAGCGCAAAATAGTACATTCCCACTGCACAGAAATCTAAGATTCTGACCTCGAGATCTTCAAAACTTGTATAAGTGCTTCCACTCATGCATCTCACCTTCTTGCTTTTTCGTTGACACATGTAGCATTTGCAGTTATGAGTGTGTGGTTTTTACTTGATTTCACTATAAAAGAAAATGGTGGTATACCTTGAGGCACTTTCCACAGTAACGTTGAACTTAAATGGCACACTTTTTTTTCTTAATTTGTGTTGAAATATCATAAGAATCCAATAAATCGAAACCATGAAAATATTTATATTGTACATCATCATCTCCAACTCACAACAGTTACCGACCGAGTCAGACAAACAAATTTGATGGAGAAGTACACCAATTTCAAGATTCAACAAATTCTCTATATACATACATATTTGTTAGTAATCGCTGTAGATAACAATAAAATTTTCACATTAGTACGGAGTAAGTACTAATTAAATGCTAAAAATATTAATAATGCCATTTTTTCTTACCTCGTAGAGACAAGTAGAAAACGGCATGAAATATCTCTCTGGTAATGAGAACTTAAATTTTTAATGCGCCACAAGAGCCAAATATTGATCGCTAATATCCTTTTGTTGCTCTAGATCAGTTTTATCTACCTGCGCTGGGCGTTTCTTCGTTAAAAAAAATGTGTTGTACAGTGTTTTTTTTTTGAGAAATTTATAAATTTTTCAACTTTAAGCTTTTCGTAATTTTAACGTACATACATATTCATATCAAAGCACTTATTATTTAATTTTTACCAAGGTTTATTAAATAATATCTAAATATTGCTCGTGTGGACGTCGCAGTTTCGGTGAAGGCAGAAATTCTAAATTTGAACGAACTCTTTTAGTAATTCACTATGCATTAGCGCTGTTAAAATAATTTGATTGTACAAAACCTGCTAACGAAGTTGTGTTTTGTTTCCTAGAAGGCAGCTGTAGGCATTTAACATGACTTTTGACCGAAAAGTGTACAAGCAATACATACATAAGCAAGTAAGAGCAACATATACATACAAACGACCAAATGATTCATGCTACTGCGTACTAATTTGCCCTAAGCATGCTCTAATTATAAAACAGATGTGTGATAAATTGAATTTAATTATATTTCGCCACCCAAATAAAAAAGGGCGTGATTTTATCTGCAATAAAAAATAAATCCAACTTTCATTTACTCCCCTACGGCTCAATTTGAGTCTTTCATTACCATCGAGTAGTACCCTGCAGGGAAAAGCTGAACTAGTATGCACAAATTCCAGTTCATGAACAATTATTTAGCGATAGAAGTCACACCAGTTTGTTATGAACTATAATTATACCAATTCCTCGTAGAAAAAGTAGACTAGTTGATAGAAACTTCTAATTTGAAAACTAATATTCAATATGGAAGTCATATCAGTTCGTCATGCTGAAATGCCAATCCAGCTAGTAAAAATACCTGTTCATTAACTAGTACGTGCTTAACCAATGGCTTACAACTTCGACGATTTCGAAAAACTTATGCGATAAGCGACATGCGTCTTTCAATTGCCAAAACCAAAACTAAAATGCAGTTAATTGCTCGCCTTACAAATGTCGGCAGTGGTGTCGAGTGAATACTACCGATTTTGGTTATGAGATCTCAGGTTCGAGACCGCATGGAGGTTATTAACGCAAAGTTATTTCAATTTAAATATAAATCAAAAATTTAAAATTTAATTTCATTTGGAAAAATTGGAAAAACCTTAATATTCAAATACAATAAAAAAATTTAATGAAAACAATTTTTTTCTTTTTAAAGTAATACAATTTAATTACAGCAAAAGAAATAAATAAATATAAAATTCTTTAAGAAAATAAAAATAAAAAATAAATCCTTTGTCTGAGATTCGAACTCGGATCTCTCGAATAGCGCGCTAGAGCTTTGTCTTGTCGGCCATTATTGCAGCGCCCGGAGCAAAATGGCATAATGTTGCTTTTTGCGGGGGATTAATTGGCAGTCTATGCCGTCAACTGGTATGATGCTACTAGCATTTCTACTGGTAGGGTGCTGATGCAGGAGCGGACAATTGACATCGCCTATTATATCACCATGTTAAAAATACAAGTCATTAAAAAAAAGAATACAACGCGAGCTAGTTAGGCTGAAAGGTAAACTTGTAGCATACTGGTTCACAACTAGTAACTTTTCCTGCAGGGTACATACTCATCAGCTTATGCAAACGGATGTATGTATTTTATATTTATGTGTGGATTAGGGATGTTAATTTTTTCGCTATTTACGATCCCGGGATTTTCGAGATGTGGTTATCATAATCCCGGGATCTCGGGATTAGTTGAAAAAATTGCTTCTATCTCTCCTACCATAAAATAAATAATAAATAAATGGGTTTCGAACCTACTTTTTTATTTAAAGTGGCATTTTTATTTTTTCTCTCTGACGTCAGGATTTATTTTAAAAGACCTTGTAATTTCAAAGATATGATTAATTTCAAAAATTATTTCAAAAATTCAATACAATGTAGAATAAAAATATGGTTACCAAATGAAAGAGGAAATTTCCTTAGAATTTAAAAAACTAAAATTTTTTGGATTCACAATGACGAATAGGTAACTTTTTAAGCTGATAAAGATAGAAGGACGAAATTCGAGGACGTTATCGAGTTTATATAAGTCCTTAACATATAGTTCTTTCAAAAGCAAATATTTCGAAATTTCAAGGCTAATATTTTAAAAGGATATTTTCAATACTTACTAGTCCTTATGTACCAAAAAATTGAATTTGGTTAAATTCTACAGAATTTCCTCTTTAATTTGATACCCATACTTCTTATCTAAACAGATTTCGCTGAATTTTTAAATCATTTTTGGATTATTGACGTCAGAGTGAAAAACTAAAAAAGCAATTTTATTATATTTGGCCCATAGTTTCGCGCATATATTGATTTTTGTGTATAAAATTTACTATCGCACGGTGTTATATGGATAATGAGGTAGACATTTGTAAAAAAAATATTAATTATTAAATAAAAAAAAGAAATATGGCCAATACTGGTCAAGAAAATGAACTTTCTATTATTGCCACGAGTGCAAATTACAAATCCCGAAAAGCTCGGGATTAACATTCCTAGTGTGGATGTAACATTTCCAAATGCGTTTGATTACGTATACGACATATTGTACGGGTTGGGTTCGAAACAGGACTAAGCAGTACCGATGTCGAATGTAAATATGTACATACATATATCCCTTTTATAAGTTTGTATAAATAAGTTAAAAGTTTGTATAAATAAGTTATTCATTTCAAATATTATATAGTCGTTTAAAGTACAACAAAATGCGTATCAACAAAATGCGAAACCGCGTAAGTGAGGTTGCATAAATTATTTTCTAGAGAGTAGAAACATTCATATTTAAAAATGGTTCGCTTTTTGGTAAAGCAATCGCATTTCTGGCTAGTATAGTTCCGGACGAATGGATAAAGATTGAGACAAGAGCTTGTGTGAGCAAATCCAATTTTTGGCAGCCAATGTCAGTTACGCGGTTTTGCAGAATGACGATACGCGGTTTTGTACTTTAAACGACGATATGCAGAGTACGTCAGGCTACTCTATATCTATACATTGGCTTCTTTCGCCTTCCTCTTCTAAGAGGATTTAAGTATTTGCTGTTATCTAATATTGTCAGTAAAAACATATCGCTTGCAAAACACACATCCAGTTACATATCATTGATCAGGTGAACAAAAAGGAAAAATTAAAATATGATAGGATAGCAAAAGTGTGAAAGTTTTCGAAACTCGCTGAAAATCTAATTTAATTTATGTAAGTTTACAGCCATTTTCGTTGGTGAAGTTCACAATAACTACACCCATTAATGCTGAGCCAACTGTCATCGAGTCAAGTTTAGTTTGAGCTGCGTTGGGACG